GGAACCGAGGGTTTTGTTACTAAATTTAAGTAAAATGAATGCCATTAATAAGGTACAATATGATAAGAAATAAAAAAAAATATATTACAAGTCAAGACACCAACCATTCTTTCCAACAATTTGATCCGCAAACCAAATATTACTCCGTTCCATATTATTCTTGTTTCCATTAATTTCCTGCTGTTTAAAGCCCCACTCTGGTAACATTTTATCGTGCGTCCACAATGCCACTTTTGTATCAAAATGAACCAAACGTATATAACTAGACTTTGTTTTCCATACTGTGTCTGATTCACCATCATCTATTAAAACCTGAAAAACGGTCTCATTATAACGGGAATCATCATCTGCTGGCATGGTCGTGAATTCTTGATTTGTTGGCATCAAAGGCGAAGCCACATCATGAGTAAGTAGATGAGACTGTGTACCGATGTGTTCAAGTAATATATAATCTCCATGTTTCACAAAATCATCATCTGGTCTTGAAGGATCCATAAAAATCTTTGCAGGTATAACTCGCCAATAATTGTTGGCATCCTCAAATTTATAACCAGTAACCTGTTGTCCTGTAAATAAAGTATTTATTGACCAATACCAAGTATTTCTAATCCATAAATAGTTGTCTTACCTTGACTACTAATACGTCCATCGGTATATCGAAGAGGATAACGTTGAGGATGAGAATGTAAAAAGACCGAAGTACCTTTGTGCTTTAAAGTAATCGTGTCATTAAATCTTATTTCTGAAACGATAAAATTTCAAGATGTGAGATATGAGTTTATAATACAAAAAATATTTACGATTTAAGTGTGAATGGCTTTACCAAGACTTTCAAGCGCCATCACATTTCCTTGGAGCGTTTCTTGGAACGCCGGACTCATAAACGAGTCACCAGGACCGCTTGTAATTAATACAGCAAAATGAATATAAAACCAAAACAAATAGACGACAATTGGTACAATGATGAGACCGACAGCACGCGCATAGAAATGTTGTCTAAATTGTTCCTACGATTAATGAAAATGCACATCAGATAATAAGAATGTCTGTTTATATGCGAGTAACGCTCGTCAGGCAAATGAATATTTTATATATTGACAATACATACTATTGATAGTCCACGTTTTATATCCAACAAATTCCACAAGTCAACTATTACTGCCATTCCGATAGTGAGAACAGTAAATAGACCAACCAATTTTACACTTTGAATGAATTAATTTATGTGATTACACGTTTTACGATGTAATGTTTTAAAACGTGTACAACCGTGATTACCTTAATGTTAAACCAAGAGTGACTCCAGTTGCAACCATCCAAAACCACCATTCGTACGAATATTCTCTATTAGTCCATTAAATAAACACACATGAATAATCAATAAATAACAATAGTGTTAAAATTGCGTGTATATATTTTCCCGTTAAAATTGCATGTATAACATCTCCCGATAAAATACCTTAAGCGATATTTATAAAATCGAATATAGCAATAAAAAGTGCAAATCTTAGACGAAAAGAAGACTGTAGGTTTTTTTTTTTTTTTGGTTTC